AATCCCTGTGGCAGCAACAAAATGGGATAACACCCACATATGGCGGCTGCTGGATGAGGGAATATTGCGGCCTTGTCAGTCTGCCTGGAACACACCCTTGCTGCCAGTGCAAAAGCCCAATTCAAGTGACTACTGGCCTGTTCAGGACTTATGGGAAGTAAACCGCTGGGTGATAAACATACACCCCACGGTCCCTAACCCTTATACCCTCCTCACCGGCCTGGCCCCAGGCAAGTTTTGGTACACGGTATTGGATTTAGAAGACACCTTTTTCAGCTTACTGTTGGCCCCATGGAGTCAGGACATCTTCGCCTTTGAGTGGCTGGACCCGGAAAGAGGAATCAGTGGGCAACTCACCTGGACCCGGCTTCCCCAAGGATTCAAAAACTCTCCCACCATCTTTGATGAAGCCTTACATGAAGACCTGGGTGAGTTCCGTAACACACACCCCACCCTAACCCTGTTGCAGTACATGGATAATATTCTGCTAGCTGCAGAAAATTGGGACGCGTGCCTGCAAGGCACCAGAGATTTGCTGCAAACACTAGGTGCTCTGGGTTATCGAGCCTCGGCCAAAAAAGCTTAGATCTGCAAAACTGAAGTAAGTTACCTGGGCTACAAACTGAAAGACGGGCAGAGATGGCTATCAGACACCCGGAAGGAGACGGTACTGAGAATTCCACAACCACAGAATGTACAACAGGTACGTGAGTTCTTAGGATCGGCTGGCTTCTGCCACCTATGGATTCCTGGGTTTGTTGAGCTCTCCCGGCCATTATATGAGGCCACCAAAAATAAATCCGACCTCATATGGACAGAGGACATGAACAGATCTTTCAAAACTCTCAAACAAGCCCTGGTGTCAGTCCCAGCTTTGGGACTGCCAGATCTGACTAAACCCTTTTTCTTGTTTGTTGATGAGTCTAAGGGAATAGCCAAAGGAGTGCTGTTGCAGCAAATAGGGCCATGGAAGAGACCAGTGGCATACCTGTCAAAGAAGTTAGACTCCGTGACTGCCAGGTGGCCCCCATGCCGATGGATCATCATGGCAGTTGCCACTATGGTCAAGGACGCTGACAAAATCGCCATGGGAAAAGAACTTCATGTCACCACTCCTCATGCTGTGGAGGGAGTTCTAAAACAACCACCCGACAGATGGATAAGTCATGCCCAGCTAACTCATTATCAAAGTCTCCTTTTAAACCCAGCCAGAATCTTGTTTCAGGCTCCGGCTACTCTGAATTCAGCCATCCTGCTACCTGACCCGGACAGGGAAGGCCCCCTGCACTACTGCCAGGACATCCTGGCTCAGGTTCACAGAATATGGGAAGACCTGAACCAGAAAAATGGAAGAATTAATATGCCATGCAAACATGGTTATGCCCAACGGTCGACAAATGATCGGACAAATTGTAAATCAATGTCAGGCTTGTCAGGTTGTCAACGCAACCAATCCCAAACAAAACCCAGGGACCAGACTTTGAGGAAACTGGCCAGGAGCGTACTGGGAAGTGGACTTCACTGAGGTGAGACCAGAAAAGTACGGATACAAGTACTTACTAGTGTTTATAGACACCTTTTCAGGGTGGACGGAGGCATTCCCCACCAAGAATGAAACCGTACAGGTGATGGCCAAGAAACTCCTGGAAGATCTGATGCCCAGGTATGGCTTCCTGGTCCAGATCGGGTCGGACAACAGCCCCAGCTTCATCTCTTAGGTAATACAGGGAGTAGCTTAGGCCCTGGGGGTGGATTGGAAATTGCATTGTGCATACAAGCCCCAGAGCTCAGGACAGGTAGAAAGAATGAATAGAATCCTAAAAAATACCTTAACTAAATTAGTTCAGGAGACTGGTAGGGACTGGGTGACTCTCCTTCCCTTTGTGCTATATAGGGTGCACAACTCACCCTATAAGCTAGGGTTTCTCCTTTTGAAATCATGTTTGGCATGCCTCCACCAGTCATACCTAACTTAAGAACAGAACTATTAATAGATATAGATGATCAAAAACTCCTTTTTCCCCTCCAAACTCTGCAAAGGGTCCACGAGCATGTGTGGCCCAGACTGAAAGCCCTTTATGAGACTGGACCACCACTGACTCCCCACAACTACCAACCGGGGGACTGGGTATATGTCCAGCAACATCAGCACGAGACTCTGCAGCCGCGATGCAAAGGACCATACTTTGTGATCCTGTTCATCCCCACTGCCTTCAAGGTGGAAGGTATCGCGTCTTGGATATACCACACCCATGTCAAATTTGCTGACACCCCTGCTATGCTGAAAGACTACACACCTGAATGGAGCAGCCGACTGGGCAAGGACAATCCTCTAAAGCTAAGACTGTGTTGCACTTCTTCTCCTTCTGCTTCTTCGTGACGGGGATGGGATTCCTTTGGGCAGTCCCTAATCCTCACCAACCTCTAAACTTAACATGGCATTTGTTAACCCTCAGTTCAGGAATCAACAGAATAATTTTTCAAGCTTCCAACCTCGCTCCCCTCAACACTTGGTTCCCAACCCTCACCTGTGACCTAAAGGAAATGTACCAATACTCTGACTGGGCTGGCGCGGTAACCAAAGTAATTTCAAAGCTAGTCTATAACAAGCAGTATCAGTTTTATGCATGCCCCAGCCATGACCAGAACGAGGCATGTGCAGACCCCGGCCAATATTATTGCCCAACATGGGCCTGTGTCTCCACAGGCACTGTACCTTGGGTCCCTGCCAAAACCAATGACTTAATCACTATAAAAAGAAACCCCTCAGGTTATAAGAAGGGGCCCTGTCAGATTCAGGGTATGTTTGTGACACCCTCTCTCTCCTACCGTAACCCTTTCATGATAAACTTCACCCCGGCGGGGCACCGAGTTACAGACTGGACGGTCAGGAAAACGTGGGGAATCAGGTTATATGACGACCCTAGAACAGGATGGCGTGATCTAGGAAGTCTTTTCATGATTAGAACCATAATAGAGTATACCATAAACTTAGGTTAAGAGCATGCGCCCAATAAATATGTAATCGGCTTGTGGACAATAGCACAGCCATTTTAGTTTTCTGCTTTAAAACATAACCTGTAGCTGTTTAAAGTTTCAGTTATGGGAAAAACTGCAAAGCTCCAGTTCAAGCTTCAACCCCTTCCCTTGACCCACTTTCCCCTTAGCAACAACCAGTCAGGTGCCAGGGGAAAATCAGCTAAAGTTTCCAAATGTCTCTGCAACTTCCCCAGCTAGTGGGCCAAGGTCAGCCTGAATCAAGCTAGCCAATCCTCCACGATTAAGCTGACCCCCAGAGGTTACTACCCAATTAAATGGTAACAAGACTAGAAAGTCCCCCCAAACTCCTCCTCCCTTTGTGTAAAAACATAAAAGCTGTCTGCTTAAGGAAGTCAGGGCCTCTGGGTGTATTCTGCTGCATCGGTTGTCAACAGAGGTCCAGGCTCGAGCTTGCAAATAAAGACCTTCTTGAACTTTCATCGGAATTGGCTCTTGGTGGTCTCTCGGATTAAACTTTCGGCCACTACAATAGTAAGTGCCATATATGAAAAACCCACAGCTAACATATTGCTAAATGGACAGAAACATATTGCTAAATGGACAGAAACTGGAAACATTTTCCCTGAAAACAGGAACAAGACAAGTCTGTCCATTCTCACCCCTCAGAAAGGCAGATTTATTAAAGTGAAGATATATTGTGAAGGGCACAATGGGCTAAACAGCAGAGAGAATGTTTGCTATCTGCAAAGAGGCAGGGGCTACAGTGTTGTTTTTATAGGAGGGATGTTAGGGTTTAGTGTGCCAGGAATTGTCTTTGGGGAAAGTCTCCAAAAGAAAATTTCCAGAGATTCCTGAAAAGTCGGTTGATTATGGTGTTTGGTTTCTTTAAGATTTGATTAGTAAACAGCATTAGTTAACTAGCACCAAAGGATTAACTGCTTTTTGTTTACTGCAAATGTTTTACAGCTGGCAAACCAGTTGCTCTTGCTGTTATCAGTAAGTTTCTTTGTCACATTTGTAACATCTCATCCTGGGATTTCCTTCCTGTGTTGTCCAGGTCCTCCTGACCCCCAGCTGTCCTCCTACCTCAGCCTCTCAAAGTACTGGGACTGCAGGCATGAGCCACAGAGCCCAGATGGGAAAATAATTTTTTGGGGGGAGGGAGGTTGGGAAGAGGGGAAAGGACTTTGCTCTGCTGCTCAGGCTGGAGTGTGCAGCGGTGCGACCACAGCGCATTGTAGCCTGGAGCTCCTGGGCTCAAGCCATCCTCTAGCCTCAGTCACTAAAGTAGGAAGACTACAGGTGCACCTCTCCACACCCGACTAATTTTTTTTTATATATATTGCACAGACTGGAGGGAAGAGTTTTGTTTTGTTTTGTTTGGGTTTTGGTTTTTTTTTGAGTTGGCGTATCACTCTATCTCCCAGGCTGTAGTACAGTGGCATGCTCATGTCCACCACAGCCTCGACCTACCGGGTTCAGGCGATCCTTCAGCCCCAGCCTTCTAAGTAGTTGAAACTACAGGCGGGCGCTACCAAGCCAGTCTAGTTTTTATGTTTTTGTCTTTTTTTTTTTTAAATTGAAGAGCCGAGGCCTCACCCATTTGCCCAGGCTGGTCTCGAACCCCTGGGCTCAGGCAATCCTCTAACGGCAGGACCAGCGCCAGGGAAGCACCCAGCAGGCAGGAAAAGCACAGCACGGCTCCGGGCATGCGTTAGGAGTCGTTGGTGTCTCCCCGAAGACGCGAAGGTAGCGAGGGTTTCCCTGTCGCTCGGTGCCTCACTGCTTCAGGCCGATGCAGCAGGTTGGAAATTGCCGGGTACAAGTGGCGCTCCTCCGCCACTGCGTCAGCGCGGCCAGTAGGGTGCGCTCTTCCCAGAGTTCCCCCCCCCCCCCCCCAACGGCGGTCAGCCTGCCTTGCGCCTGCGCAGGTTTTGTTTTCTTTTTTTCTCGGTGAACAGCCTGCGGCCCCTCGGACTAAGATGGCGGCCACCGGAGGCGCTGGTGAACTGCGGCTGATGCCGCGGGGTTGTGCCGGCGGTAAGTGGCCTGGAGCTCCCACGAGGGGTGCCGCTGGGCGTTGGATGTAGCCCGCGGCACCGTCGCCGCCTCGCAGACCGTCTCTCAAGGGCGGGTTGTGCATCTCGTGGAGCCGTCGGGACAGCCCCGTCCCCCAGTGAGGCCCAGAAAGGGGACGTGTCCAAGGCCACACAGCTTCTGAGCGATGGATGGCGGAGGAGACTCCAGACCGCTAGGTACCTACCACCTTCCTCCACCCCCCTTAAGCCCGCTTCACTCCCTTCTCCCTCTTTCCTGAGCCCTGCCTTCCAGTGTCGCCTCTCAGACATCTGTGACCAGTGGTAAGGGGACGAATGCAGGTGTGGGATCCTGACTGACCTCGTGAGCATTCGAAGTTTTAGTGTTAGTGGTGCTCTTGAAGTTTAAATGCGTTTTCTAAAAATATTATATTTGCGGAAGGATTTTTTTAGTTAACTCTTGCCTCCCCCTCTTGTTTCAGAAGATGTCTTTCTTTAAAGATTTAACCCACTCTTGAAAAAACAACATTAAACCCATCTCTGTCAAAAATGTGCTTCCTGTTCATTCATTCTGCTGACTTTTCCCTGGGCTGAAAGGACAGAAATAGTGCTCTCCCAGTGTGTTAACAAATTCCAGACTATTCACAGATTTAGGCAGTGAGGTCTAGATACAGGTGTTCTCACCCCAAACTCTGAATTTCGCTCATTTAGTAGGTAGCTGTTCTGCATCAATTCCTTAATACTCACGGTAGCAGCTTCTATTATTCAGAACTTACTATATGGCCTGGGAGCAAAAGAGGAATATTTACTGCTTGATCTGGCACAGATTTAAGCACTTGGCATGGATTATCTGGATCCATCATCTCAGTGTTGATGAGGTGGCTGCTAATATTAATCTCAATGTACAGATGATGTACTGAGGTCACCAGCTAGGAATGAGACAATCTCTCCCCTTGATGAGTTTGCAGTCTCTAAGGAAGAGGTATTAGCTAATAAGGATAAAGTCGTGAGTGCTGTAATAGAGTCAGATTTTAAAGTGGCGACAGACTTTACTGTGGTCAGCTCTGTTTGGGGCTAGCATGGAGAGTGGCAGTCAGGGCTTCCCAGTTGCTCATTTCTCATTCAGTGTCTCCATTGTGCTGGATCCTCAGTGCCAGGCCTTTAGTCTCTCCAGTAGACACTCCCTGTGGGTTACAGTCCCACAGTGCCGCAGTCCCACAGTGCCCCAGTAAAGTAGTCTTTTGCTTATAGATAGCTTTTGAAGATGACCAAAGATGGGAAATTTTTAGTTCATCTGAGTTCTATTTAATTAATACTCACCCTTTGTGACAAGGAAGATTCCCATTTTCTATGAAAAGAAATGTGATACTGTCCCTGTGTGTCTCTTCCTGCCTTTTTAAAGTGGAACCTAGAGGAAAAACTTTTAAAAAGTAAAGATCCCCTTTGTGTGATCAATCACAAATGACTCCTGTGCTTAAAGTTTTCAGTGGGTCCTGTGAAATGAAAGTTGTAGTGGATAGCAATAATATGTTATAGTAAGCTGGACTTTAAGTAGCTTGCATTAGGACTCTAAATATTTTCATTTCTAAAGCCTCTTTTTACTTTTTCCAATCGTAATTTCTTTTCTCCTTTTGTTTTTAATTTGTCAAAGTTATGAAAAATAGCCAATTGGGTTTTTCTATGAGTGAAATAAAATACAACACTGGGTTAATATACGTTCAATCAAAAGGCAGACAATAGTACACTTTCTGTTAGGCTTTTTGAAGTATTGAAATACTTCAAAAGTATTGAAACACTTCAAAAATAGATACTATAAGTTTCCCTCTAGAGGGGAACATGGTGGTAGGGGACAGGAAAGCAGGGAGACTTTTTACTTATACACTTCTCCAAAATGAACTTTCTAAAAATATAATATTTGCAGGAGGGTTTTTTAAGTTAACTCCTGTCTCCCCCTCATATGTTTCTTTAGATGTCTGCATTTAAAGATGTAACCCACTCTTGAAAATATAACATTAAACCCGTCTCTGTCAGTATGTGCTCCTATTTATTCATACTGCTGACTTTTCCCTGAGATGAAGGGACAAGAATAGCGGTCTCCCAGGTAATTTTTTAAAACATGGTTTCTTGTTATGCTACCTAGGCTAGTCTTGAATTCTTAGACTTAAGCCATTATTTTGCCTCGGCCTCCCAAAGTGCCCAGATTATATCTATTTTTTTTATCTTACCAATTTTGAAGCATGTGACTTTTATTATCTAAAAATAATTTTTTAACGAAGAAATAAAACTTAGAGTTTTTTCTTCCTTCATGGATGGCTAAGTGTATGGTTCTACAGATTATAAATCACTAGTGTAGGTTCAATTCTGTTTCTTACACCTGGATGTTCCACTGTCCTGTGTTCACCCATTGTCCAGTCTAGGATTTTTTTTTCTTTTCTTTTTCTTAAAGCAGGATTTATCGAGAGGAGAGAAAAGCTCCCACAGTGGGAGGGAACCTGAAGGGGTTGCCCAAGGTTAGGAATTTTAATTTGAGCTCTACCTGATTTTGAATTTTTTGTAGATGATGCTTGCCTAAGTAAGAGGAAATAATGTAGATGGAAAATAAAAAAGTCAGCTCTGGAGGTGTTTTTCTTTTGTTGGTTATGTTTAAGTTTTCCATGTCTTCTTTATATATGAGAAGTAGAAACTGGCTTTAAATGGTTAGATCTCTTAACATGTCATTCATTTTTTGTTTAAAATGTAGATTCTGTCAAAAGTTGAAGAATCCATATACCATAAAGAAACAGCTTCTGCATCAATTTGTACGAAGACTACTTTTCCCATTGCTTGTAGCCTTATCTAACACAGGTAAAATTTCACCTCTCTTAGAGCAAATTGTGTTTTAGAAATGAATAGAAGTAACTATGCTAAGATGTTGCAGATCCTAAAAGATAAGATTCTGTAAATTTCCTACTTAGAAGCCTATAAAAAGAAAGTATATAAAAGAAACCATTTTCTTTTTTTTTTTGAGATGGAGTCTCACTCCATCACCCAGGCTGGAGTGCAGTGTCAAGCTTACGGTCACCCCAGCGTCAACTTGCTGGACCAGGCAAGCCTTCCCCCTTAGCTTTCCAGGTTGCTAAAACTACAGGCGTGCACTACCATGCCCGGCTAATTTTTTTCATTTGATTGTAGAGATGTTGCCGAGGCTGGTCTTGAACCCACAGAGCTCAGGCAATCCTCTCACCTTGGCCTCTCAAAGTGCTGGGATTACAGGCTTGAACCACTGCGCCTGGCCTTCTTTCTTTTCTTTTTCTTTTCTTTTCTTTCTTTTTTTTGAGTCAGGATCTCTCTCTCTTTGCTGCCCAGGCTGGAGGACAGTGGAATGATCATGGCTCACCACAGCCTTGACCTCCTAGGCTCATGTGATCCTTCTGCCTCAGTCTCCTGAGTAAGTGGGGCTACAGAGGCCTGCCTCCACATCTCACTAATTTTTTATTTTTATTTTTGTAGCAGTGACGTCTTGCTGTATTGCCTTGGCTGGTCTCAAACTCCTAGGCTCAAGCGATCCTCCTGCCTCTGCCTCCCAAAGTGCTGAAATTATAGGCATGGCCAGAAAGCTAAGTAGCCTTCTAAATAAAAAAAATCGTTTTCAAGGACATTGTTTAATAGATGAATGAAACCTCAGTATCTTATATGATATGTCCACTGGAACATAAGAGTTGCACAGTAAATGATATCTGAAATGAAAATGTTCTGAAAAGAAGCTAAAAAAGTTTTTGGGCTGGGTTGGTGGTGAGAGGATTGCCTAAATCCACAGGTACGAGAACAACCTGGGCAACTTGGCGAGACCTCGTATCTACAATAAATCAAAAAAATTAGCCGGGTGTGGTAGTGCATGCCTGTAGTTCCGGCACTTGGAAGGCTGAGATAGAAGGATCACCTGAGCCCAGTGAGTCAATGCTGGGGTGGCCGTGAGCATGCCACTGCACTCCAGCCTGGGCGACAGAATGAGACTCCAACTCATAAAAAAAAAAAAAAAAAAGGTTTTGTATTTCAATGAAGCTTGTATATTTGTTAGCTTTCCTTATTTTTTATAAGAATATTCTTGTATATGAGTAAATTTCTTAACTTTCATTCAGACCTTAGGACATAGGATTTTGAAAATAGTTATTCCTTTTTTTGTTAATCACTATGATTTGTTATCACTGCTTGTTGCTTGATGTGAATTGTTGGGAGCCAACATCTATAGCTACATGGCTGAGGCCTGTAAAGGCCCATCTGGAGGATCGCCTCTGACATAGGATATCAGTTATACCTATAATATTGGCGTGTGATTAGTGACCAGTGTGCATACATGGCAGTAAAACTTATAAGTAAATATAAATATGCCTGATGGAAAGTGCATAGCAGAATTATTTTTCTCTGTCCTTCTAAGTTATACTTCTTTCTAGATATTTTTTACTTCTATTTCCTGGTAGACTGGTTAGTCAGCTCTTGTTCCCAAAGGCAGTTTCTCCTAGGATTAAGATTAGAAACTAAATTACCATAATAGTTTTATTGCCCTGCCTCTAGCCAGGCAGGACCGCTTTTCTAGTTTCCTTACATGCCGAAACTCCGTTTGCTTCAGCCCGAGGTCATTGTCATGGTAACCGTGCAGCCCATTATCCAAGAGTGTGACAGCTACTATTTGATTTTTAGAATAGACTTGTTTGAATAAAACATACATTTAAGACAATACAATTTCCATCAAAAAGATGTAACAGTAATAAGCATTCATAGAAAACTTTTAAGTTTTGTTTAAGCTTTTAAGTTTCCTTTTCTCAGATTATGACTTTAGTTCCTGTTCCTGTAGGCCAATTTTAAGATCCTTTGATTAGTATACCGAAATTTTCCCAACGGTGCTGTTTTTGCTTCTAATATGACAATAGGAAATTTTACACGTAGCCATGTATTAATGTACTAGGAAAAAAGATTTAAGTTTTGGGTTAAAGTCCAATCACTAGATCATATAAAAATTAAAGTTTAGGTTTATGAAACTCATATAAGTCATGGTAAGGAATAAGATTTGAATTAATTGTTATAGAATTACAGGGCACTATGTTGAGTCATAATAGGTTAATGGAATAAATAAAAATTAAGTCATTTAAGTAAACTTATAGATTATAGTGTTAAGTTGATAATATCAACCTTTAAAAAATATTAGGCGTCAGTGAACTTGGATTGAACCTAGAGTTAACTTAGAAAGTTTTTGTATTAATCAGGGTTTAGAACAAAGAGTATAATATGAATGATTCATTGAACACTATGGAAGACATTTTGAACAATTGAAATTGTGCACCTGTGACCTTGATGTGAGTTTTGTGAAGCACGTCAGGCATCATGGAGTTCGAATTGTCTGCTTGGAACTTGCAAGTCTTGTGATGGTCTTGTGATGCATAATTTGTAAACCTCAATATACATCATGGAATTTGTACGCCCCCAGTAAATAATTATCACACTGCTGGAGAGTATAGAAAATGGTATATAAGTTGGAAAAGATTTGAATAAAATTGGCTTCAGTCCTGATCAGACTGTTCCCAGAAGAACTGCCTCCGAGTGGTCTCTTCTCGCTGTCTCCTGATTCTCCAGTGCGGGTCCTAACCCTTCCCTCCAAGGTCGGAGTGGGTCTCCGACAGTGAATTTGTGTCTGACTTCTGGGAAGCTGATGTGGGTGACACATAGACTGCTTGGCACAATGAGGCATGGGTCCCTGTTCATTGCTGGCAGCTGAACAAGGGCACTGAGAATGGCTGCACACCTGCCTGCTTGGGATAGCAGTGTGTCTCAACATAAATCAGTAGAGGATTATGGTGTGGCAAAAAAAAAAAAAAAAGTAAGACTGTGTTGGTACTATGCCTTTCTGTCCGCAAATGCTCTATTATTTGGCACACCACTGATGACAGCCTCCAGTCACATCCAGCAAAAGTCCCCTAAAGAAGGACCAGCGACCACTCTTGAGTTTACATATCAGAAGATTAAGGAGACATCACGCTAGAAATGGCCTCACTCCTTCCCCAGGCCAGTGTGATCAGTGGCCATTGCTAGAACCCAGTCCTTTCCTTTTTGGCACCATCCTCCACAGCGACGGTGTTTCCTGGCCTCCAAGGGTATAGGACTTTGCAGGAATCATAAGAGTAAGGGGTAATTGGGTATTCACTCTCAACTCTATTTGAAAATGTCCATGACTTCACTGCTGCAGAATTATATCTTCCTATCTCAATAACCTAGGCACCAGCATGCATAGTGTGGGGTCCAGTGAGTCTGTGCCCTCCTGCTGAGTATACCTGTATGTAAGTGGTGTAATGTGTATGTTTGCACACATACTCACAAAGTATTTCAGAACTAAGGGAATCTTGAAGCCAACCCCTCACTGCACCCCGGCATGGGCTTCTGTCAGCCCTGATAATGAGTGCCGCTTAGTACCTGGGGCCAAGGTCCCTGCTTACAGGATGAGAACTCTTTGGCAAAGGCTGCCTGCTGGACAGGAAGTCTGGATGCCCTGCCATTGTGGTGACCTGCAATTCTGACCATTCCGGTTGGGCCTGAGGACACCTGCAGAGATCACGGCATTTCTGCATGTTTGGTTTCCAGATCTACTGCAGATTGAACTTAAGGGAGAGAAACAGACTTCTAGAGGAAACGGGTTAAGAAGGAAGAAGTGACAGTAATAGGGAAGACAGAAATTTGAGCAGACTGTGAAGCTCCAGATACCCTGTTTCGGGGGGGGGGGATTAGTGCCAAAAGCAGCTGAATGCACATCTTAGTCCCTAAGGGCCTCCCATATCATAGCTCAGTGTGATTATATTCAAAACGATGACCATGTCCCTCACACATAAACTAAACCCAGTTCAGAAGAAGGCAAGAATTTGTACATGAAACACTTTAGAACAGTTTGTGTTGCAAATTATAGGCGGGAACCAGTTTCTTCATATTAAAAACAGCCAACCTTACACTATCCAGAGGATGTAGCTAACTAAAACAATACATACCTCCTGGTTGAGGTTTTGTGTTCTGGGAGCTTCTTGTTTTCAGAGAGTTTTCACAGCTTTGTAAGTGACTTTCATGCTATAGTGCTTTGCATATAATGCATGAGCACTGGAAGAACCAAGTCTCCGACGTGTTGAATGAAACTCATGGCTAGAATACAGGTCAAATACCGCTACCATAGAAAAAACTGAAACATATCTGTGTTCTCTAAGCCTTGTTGGTTGCCCATTTATTCAAGTAATAGTCATTACAACAAAATTGGAGTCTAATAAAAAGACCCTCGATGCTCTCCACAAGTTGGGTGTGACACAGTTTAACCTGTAAAGACTGATTCTCACTGTATTTCTGCAGTTCTTTGCTTCAAGAAGAACAAACCCTTTGTAGACCTAGTACCAGCCTGGAGAGCTGGTTAGTTGTTGGTAGGAGGATTAGGAATTCAGAAGCAGAGGACACGCAGGATTGTGTGATGATTCCTCACTAGAAGGTATGGTATCTAGTGCCTCTTGACCTTAATCTGTGTTGTAGCCATCAACTAAAGAGCTGCTTCCTTCTGTAGTGACATGTACACATCTTAAGCCCTGGAAAGAAGATACGATTCATTTCTCATTGATCACTGGACACTGTGGTAATTCAACTCTGATCTGCTGACCCTGTGTTAGTTGAACCCAGAGCCCAGTGACTAGAATTGTCTCTTTTTCCATGTGTGGAATTCCTGAGTGGCATCATGCTAGCGTTCATATCTAGCGTTCATATCCTGGCAGAATACTGGAGAATGCCTTCAGCTACAGTCATCCCAGAGTGAATGTTCACAGTAGGTGACCTCCCAGAGGGAAGAGAGGTGGGAACCTCACCCCCATCCCTGCCAGCCACCAGACTGTGTGGCACGTGGCCATTGTGCCATCCTTGACACGCCTGCAATGAGGGCAGGGTCTGCCGGCTGAAGAAGCTATTCTCTCCAATGCCTCGCATCACACACAACACAGCAACAGCAGGAGAGGAAGATTCCTCCTGAGTCCCAAGTTGTTTTCATCTCTGTGTGTATGCCCATGCATGTGTATGAGTACGTGTGTGCCCACAGGTCCATATGCATGTGTACACCTTGCCTGGAAATATATGTGAGTATGTGCATGTCTGTGTGTTGGGCTAGTCCAGGAAAGCTGGATTCATATGTGGACTCTGGAGAGCCAACTCACAGATGCATCAGCTGAGCAGCAATGGCTGTAGCCCCACAACCAGCAAAGGACAGTGCTCTTTGGAGTTAATCGGGCTTCCTCCCTGAGTACCCAGGACTTTTATGTGTCCAGTGCACTCTGGGGTATCCAGGTCACATTTTGGAACACACTGAAGTTGAGACAAGTCCTGCCACTTACTACCCATCGAGAGTAAAGGACCTGATAGCTCCGTGGATTTGCTTAAGGTCTCCTGGCTGTTGGGAACCCACGTTTCACCCAGACTTGGCTACTGTCCCCCAAAAAGGAAGTCTGTTTAGTGACTCAAAGTCCATATAGAACATTCTAGGAGACCCCAAGGATGCCTTGCATTTCAAGGGGATACAGTTAGATCATAGGCTGTGTTCTCCATCTTGGCACACAGACATGAGTGCTCAGCATGGGGCATCCTTCCAGGGTGGCACCATCTGTGACAGGGGTGTGGCCCTGAGAGGCTGTAGCTCTCTCTCCCCTTCACTCCCTGTTTCTCTCTTTCATATGTTCTCTATGATTTGTTCTCTCTCTCTCTCTCTCTCTCTCTCTCTCTCCCCCTCTCTTCCTGTCTCCCTCTCTTCCTCTTTTTCTCCCTCTCCCATATTTTTTTTCTTCCCCACCTGCTCTCTCTCTCTTCCTTCCCTCCCAGCTCTCTTTTCCAAGCTACAACAGTGAGGGTCACTTTTTATTGTCACAGCATGCAAGGCAGTACTGCCTTGCTTAAGGTCTCCTGGCTGCTGGCAACCCACGTTCCTGTCACACCATACACAGAGCCCCAGGTGTCCAGGGATCCCTGTGAGCCGCTGGCACAGCAGGCCTCCTTACCCCAGATTCATGGTGACTGGGAAGCTGAGGCACAGGATCACTGGAGATGGGCATTTGTGACTGACCTCTAACAGTTGACCATCATTCTCAGGTACCTTTCTGGGTATATTAGCCTTGAGACCTTGGGGGATCGTCAGGTGCCCTCGTGGGGGTGTCTGTGTGGCAGGTAGTGGTGGGTGGTGCAGTGAGTGTGTATGTGAGCCTGAATGTGAGTCTGTGTGTTAGCATGTGTGAGACTGTGAGTAAGCATGTCCCTATGTATGAGTGTGTGTGTGAAGCTATGTGAGCATATATGAGCCTATGTGGGAACCTATGTGTGAACCTGTGTGTAAGACTGTATGATTGTGTGCCTATGTGTGAGCTTGTCTGAGCCTGTTTGTGAGCATTGTGAGCTTTTGTGGGTGCCTATGTGTGAGGCTGTGTGAGTATGTGCCTTTGCGTGAGCCTGTATGAGCATATTACACCTATGTATGAGCATGTGTAAGCCTGTATGTGAACATATGTGAGTGTGTGTACAACACAGGAGGGAAATTCCTCATCAGGAAGAGGAATGACCTGGCCATCCTCCAAACAGCTAACTGCTCAACATGAAGTTGGCATGCATTGGGGAGGGTGGGTGCCATGGGTAGGAAACTGGGGCCCATGCCTGCATACCATGCTTTAAAACACAGCCCTGACCCCAGTGTAGGTCAGTCAGCCACCTCTTGTTCTTTCCCTCACCCAGGGGTCATACCTTGCCTCCACCCCACTTCCAATGACTTTAAATATCTCTTCCAACCCCACAGTATGTCCCTGCAAGGAACCTCACTACAACTTGAGTGATGTTTAAGCACCACTACTACTCTCCAAATAGCTTGGTTGTGTTCCATGCATGTATGTATGTGTGCACATGCATATGAGACCAGGCTGGAGGTTCAGTGAGGAAGGTCCCCATTCCTCGTCAAAAGTGTGGGTGATACCAGATCACACACTTCCATGGGAATACCACTGTCTTGAACAGAATCAGTTCCTTCTAAGTAAGAAGAGACATGATGGTGTGTTCTTAGGAGACCATTAGATGCACTGGATGTGATGAGCATTTAGCGACAGTGAGGGATAGGCACCCACTTGCACGCCAGCTCTCTTTCTTCATCTTTCTTACTCCTTTCGCTTCCAGGGAGAGAGGAACTCCATGCAAAGAGTTCATAGCAACAATCATGTCTGGAAACGGGGTCCTCTGGATCCCCAGTTCTCATGGTATGTTCA